GATCCCATCTGCCGGTGGATCACTGACTTCCTGACGGACAGGAAGCAGCATGTGAGGCTGGGAAAGAATGTCTCGGACTCCCGGACCATCAGCACCGGCTCCCCTCAGGGCTGTGTTCTTTCTCCTCTGCTCTTCTCCCTGTACACCAACTGCTGCACCTCCACCCACCAGTCTGTCAAGCTAATCAAGTTTGCAGATGACACCACCGTTATTGGACTCATCTCGGACGGGGACGAGTCTGCCTACAGGAGGGAGGTTGAACGTCTGGTGTCCTGGTGCAGCCACAACAACCTGGTGCTGAATGCCCAGAAGACAGTGGAGATTATTGTGGACTTCAGGAAGCACACAGCCCCACTCCCCCCCATCATCCTGACTGACACCCCCATCACCTCTGTGGACTCATTCCGCTTCCTGGGTACCACCATCACCCAGGACCTGAAGTGGGAGCCCACCATCACCTCCGTCATTAAGAAAGCCCAGCAGAGGATGTACTTCCTGAGGCAGCTGAAGAAATTCAACCTGCCAACATGGACGATGATGCAGTTCTACACTGCAATCATTGAGTCCATCCTCACCTCCTCCATCACCGTGTGGTACGCTGGAGCCACTATCAGGGACAAACAGAGACTGCAGCGTGTTGTGCGCTCTGCTGAGAAGGTGATTGGCTGCAGACTCCCATCTTTGCAGGACCTGTACACCTCCAGGACATTGCGGCGTGCAGCTCGGATCTCAGCTGACCCTTCTCACCCTGGACACAGTCTGTTTGACCTGCTCCCCTCAGGCAGGAGGCTCCGGTCCATTCGCACCAGAACCTCTCACCATAAGAACAGTTTCTTCCCCTCTGCTGTTGGACACATGAACAATAACCATATGACTGTTCCCACCACTAACACATGACCCTACGCTGTGTTCACTGTATCATTCCATGTTTGGCACTGATCACCACCTGCACTCATGTATATATCTTTCAACGTAGCACTCTTAATTCTTACTCTCATGTATATATCTCATGTATATCTCATGCACATATCTTTCCACGTAGCACTTTTAATTCTTATCCCTACTTTTATTCTCTCCATGTCTATTTAAGTGTTATTTATGACACCATGTTTGCACTGAAGCACCGCAGCAATTTCCTAATGTTGTAAACCTGCTCAACATTTGGCAATAAACCCCATTCTGATTCTGATTCTGATTCTGATTCTGATATGAACCTGGCTGTCTCTCTGTACACACACACACACACACACACACACACACAACAGGAGTTATAAGGTTAATGGGCATCCAGTCAGTTAGCTAGTTAGTACCTTGGGTTCAATATCGGCACATATGACAAAATAACCAGTTTCTCTCATTACATTTCTTTTTTTTTTTTTTTTTTGTGTCCCGTTTGGATCTTTAGCATCAGAATTGTTGTCTTAAGGCCAAGAAAGATGCCAAGCGCATTTATTTTACCAAGTGGATCATCATGGCCTTCCCATATTGGTCCATTTGAATGACCTTCATTAAAATTATGAATTTATTTTATTTTCAGTTGCTACAAATGGGACATACATGACTGGGGGATAGGACAGGGAGAAAGAATGAAAGAAAGAGAGGGAGAGAAAGAAAACCAGAGGGGAGAAGAGACGGTGAGAAGGGGGGGAAGAAAGAAAAGAAACAAAAAAACCAAAACACCTGGGTCACCTGTATGGAGAAAAAAACTGAAGAGAAAGCAAACAACAAAGAGCAACATAATAAAAAAAACAGCACCATCACAATAAACTAGCTAGCAGTAGATATCAGTAGATACTAAATAATAAACGATATTGTGCAGCACGCAAGATAGACAGCGCACAATGTCCTTTGAGGCAGCAGCCAAGAAAGCTGTAGTCCGCGTCTGTGAATACCCGTGTGTACACCTGTGTGCATACCTGTGTGGATCAGCATGCTTGCATTCCAAAGGTTTCTCCATGTAACGATCTGCTAGGGAGTGTGGGGGGGCCACAGCCCCGTCCCCAGGGCATGAAGCAGGTATGGAGGAGATCAAAACTCCAGACATCCAGAGGCCCCCAGAACACAAGAGACCAAGGAAGACCAACAGAGGGGCAGCCGCGCCACTGTCCCAGTAAGAGCTGAGGAGAGTCCCAGATGAGGGCTCACTCAGCAGCCACCGAGCAGAAGCCAGGGGGAGTTGCAGTGACGCGCCCGTGAGCTCCGCCGGCAGCCAGCCGTGCCTGAGTGACCGAGCCCCAGGCCGAGAGGCCGGGGGCACCCCACCTCCGAAGTGGCCCGAGCGAGCCCCAGGCTCCAGGCCCCGATAAGCGGCCGCCAAGGAGTGAGCCGGTGTGTACCTGGACGCCCATCCCCAGACACAAAGAACCACCAACGCACCGACACCTGAGGGAGTCCGCCACTGGCAGGGGAAGTGGTGGTGGGTGGAGATAGGCCTCCAAACCTTGGAGGGCCTGAGGTGTCCCCAGAGAGGTGGCGTCTGATACCCAACCTGACATATAGACACAGACATACAGGCACACACAGACACAAACATCCATTCCCACCCTCATGCTCTCATATGCACTTACTCCACACTCAACCAACGTGGAGACAGACATAAAGAGACGCTGTACACACGATCACACTCCCCAAGCGTACTCTACGAACCGGGTCTAGGTACCCTTGCCCCTGGAGGGGGGAACTGCACCCAGACCCAGGTGGTGTTACCCTTTTCCCTGCGGTGGGAGAGGCAGACCGCCCCGACTCCGCAGCAGCAGGGAGGCCCCACACTCCAGACCGCAGTCGGACGGCCAACTCCTCCTCCTAGCCCCCCGCTCCAGCAGGTCGCAGAGAATGGGGGTGAGAGAAGACTCCAAACCTCCCTCCACCCGCTCATTGTAGTGTTGATGCATGTGTGTTCTAAGGTGCATTTAAAACACAGGAGGGCATGGAGCTACCTGCCAGAGAGCAGCAGGTAAGCGCATAGTCCCTCCCCTCTCATTACATTTCAAACAGGACGGTGGTAACAACAGCAGGCTACAGACAATTTTAAGTTTTAGATTTTAAATAGGCTGTATAAATTTCAATGGGAGCAACAGGACGGTCAAATATCGCTGATTTTACTACAGAGCAGGACGGATTGTAGGTAGCGTAGCAAACATAGTCTGGAAACACGTTTTCAACACAGCAGGTTTCCTGGGTGTAATGTTTTCAGTTAAAAAGAAACATGGCCTGACTCTTGCCTAACTATATAATGAGTAACTGAAGGTTAAAGGCAGCTAATATGTCCTGTTTTAAGCCAGGCACTTACACCTCCACTCCCTGCGTCTCAGTCACCATCGCTCTGGCAGCAACGGCGCTAGAGCCAGAGCAGGGGGGGAGGGGTTATCTATACTTTTGTTGTTAAAATGTTCCATCTCAATTAAGTACTGTATGCTTTTTATGGTTTTTGTAGTGTGTCACACAAACAGCAAAAATTGTCAAAAAAAAGTAAGAAAGTAAGAAATCTTTGGGGGTGCTTTGATTCATTTTGGGGGGGTGCACCACGACAGACAGTTCAGCAGGGGCTAAAATCGCCCCTGGTGAACGATATGTGAAATAGAAGGAAGTTGCCCATGTTATGCAAAAGTGAGTTTCATCTTCAGTGTGCTGTAAATGATGTGTGTTTATTTTTGCTCATTTTCAGTATTCAGAACCGGTACAGTTGTCCACTTTAATTTCAACCAGATATGAGTGTGGCTTACTTTAAATATAGTTGAATATTGCTGTAAATTCACTGTAGATTACAGTGGCTTTCAATTGTTTAAGCAAGAGCATGTGTGTACTTTTGTTCTGCTTTCACTGAGTGATCACATGAAGCACATGTAAAATAGTGGAAAGTGTAGAGTGTGAATCCATTTATTTTTCCACTTGTGACTTTGGAAAATGGACAGATATGGGCACTGGGACTGAAAGAGTCATGCACACATGGATATTGTTAATGTTGTTCATGTTTATTGAAACTTGGAATAAGAGATGCAATCTGAGAGGCAAACCGAGTGCACTGTCTTCATTGCTCCTGAACTTTGCCTGTATTTGCAGGGATTTTTTCTTTGTTATTGTGGCACCATTCCTGGGGCCCGTAACATAAACAATAACGTGCGCACAGCGTGACCTGAAAAAAGGCACATACCTTTGACGTTGCGTGACGAACTCTGTATTCTTCGTCCACATGTAAACACAAAAAAGGAGTTTTTAAAAAACTCCGTTTGCAGTGATTTGAAACCCTGTTTACGTGTGGACGAAACAGCTGCGTTTTCAAAAATACCCGTGTAGGTGCGGACGTAGCGTGAAATAGTTAGTAATTTATTTTCTTACTACCTGTGATTTATTGCACATTACTTGTATTTGCTTAATTGTTTACTAAATGTTTGAGGTGTCAAAGAAACTGCAATGGAGCAAAATATGGGTGTGTGTGGTTGAAGGATGTGCGTGTGCGTGTGCGTGCTCGCGTGAACATTTTTCTTGTAAAACAAAGGGAGGCCTAGCAAAAAAGGTTTGGGAACCACTGTGCTAACTGGTGTTTCAATCAGCTGTGGGTGTAACTGTGAATGGTTATTAGTCTCTATGTGCTACCTCTGTGATAGACTAGCGATCCTTCCATGGTGTATCTCACATAGGAATATTTGTGGAACCCTCCACTCACCTACATGTCAGTATTTACAGTTGTTATTCCTCATCTTAAGTTCAGTAAGATTTGACTTCTCCATAATTTTTCACAAGTGAAAAGCTGCACACACTTGTTTGCAGTGTGATGTTTCATGAACTTGACTCATGGGAAAAAAAGGTTCTTACCTTATCACCTTATTAGGCCTTCCCCTCACTCACCACAGGAGACTGCCCCGTGTTCCGCCTCTGCAGACAAAGTATAAATGTTGGTGTTCAGGCTTGTTTGGTCAGAGGTGCAGAGAAAGTATTTGACTTTCATACCTGATACTAATAAGGTTAATAATCTCAGAAAACTTAAAAAATCCTTTTGTTATTTTCACACTAAAATTCCAGTTGTTGCTCGCTGCCTAAAGGTAAGAAACTCTTTGCAACAGAAACATTAGAGACTGAACTGATTGTTCTTGGACTTAATCTGAGTGATTTCTATAGTGGTGACATTTTGCTTAAAAATGACCCGCAACATTACACTAGGTGTGGCTCCTGCAGCACATGCTTTGTTCTCCCTGAGACTTTATTCACTCGCTCAGCTTTTATATAGTGTTTGTTACATAGAAGACTCGCTGTGGGACAGATGTTGCTATGTTTCAGGCTGTGCTTGCATGGGACACTCTCACATAGTTCTGGTTTCCAGATTAATCATTAATCAAACATTGTCTGAATGTTCCACTGGAATACTTAAAGAGATATTTCATTGGAAATGTTTCATGGACGTCACGGTAATGCCTGGAATTTGGACTAAACATGTCCAAATTCAATTCAATTCAATTCAATTTTATTTATATAGCACCAAATTACAAAAACAGACGCTACAATAATACAAAATGATCTCTGTTTCTACTCTAAGCAACTGGCGTGACTAACAGGCAGAACAATTACATTCTCTTCCACTAGAGTGCTGTACAACTAGCTGCTCTAATTAAATGGGTTGCAACTGGAGGTAAAACAGAAGTCAAGTCAAAGAAGAAATTACATAATAGTCATGCTGTGAGTGAGACAATGCAGTGCATTATAGCAATAGCTAAATATTTGAAAAGAAAAAGTAGTCAGTCGGACCTGGGTCCTGGAGACAATTCTGACCTAGCTGAAGGTCAGAAGAAAGCACAAAAGGTATACTGGAGACAAACTTAACCAATTCTGCACATTTGTTTGGTGTGCCGTGGCTCCAAAACGTTAGGAAAACTGCTATAGCAAATTAACAATTCTTCAGAACCACAGTTTAGTTTGTACCTTATGTGGTCGCAAATGTATTTATTTTTTCTCTTGGTGTTGCTCCTTTATTTGAAGCATAAAAGTAGTTAACGGAACATTTGTTGTTTTTTCGAAATGTCACACATGGGCATTTATCTTTTCAGATCCACTCTACCTCGCTTTCACCCTCTCTCACACAGTCTTCTCATTCATTCAATCTTTTCAACAACATATCAGGAGCAAAAAAGAAAAAAGAAAAAAAAAAGAAAAACCCATTTCCTAAAAATCAGTATTGATTTACAATCATTCTATCAGTCAGTCATTCATTGGCAAAAGTAAAAGTAAAAATAGGCATGTTACGATGAGGTGCTGGTGTCCTCTGCTCTCTGCTCACATTATCTAAAGCCACAAGCTTCATATCAAATCAACCACTGGTTTCTACCCCTTAGAATGAATAGACTGGTTTCTATCGGGGGCAACAGCAGGCCTCTTGGTCATCTTACCTGGTAAATGATGGGAGTATACAGAAGGGAAAAAAAACAAATGTGACAACTTTAGCATGTTGAGCTAAATGAGGCCCTGCAGTTAAATCTGACCTCGTCAATTATTAATGACCAACAGATGCAAACGTTTTCTGCGTTTAAACCCACAGATCTGTGCGGATCTTATAGGATTTTTTCAGGGGAATGTTGGATTTATGTTTTCTCCATAAAAGTTGAGACTCTCCCTGCAAGTTTTAAACTTTAAAAAGGACCAATTTGCCTATTTACCTTCTTTGAAACATGAATGCCTTTGCAGGTGTGAACTGAGAACCAGAGGTTAAATAGGACAGGGGCTGGTTTGCTCTTAAAAGTCACTGATTAACATGCAGCTAATTTGTTTACAGCACAGGTGTTGAACTCCAGGCCTCGAGGGTCGGTGTCCTGCAGGTTTTAGATGTGTCCTTGATCCAACACAGCTGATTTAAATGGCTAAATTACCATAGGTACATATGTCATCCAAAAATCCACCAAACTTAGTTGGCCTGATCACTTAATTGCGATTGGATCTGTGATGCTTTTATTTAAACTTTTTATTTGCAACTTTATTTAAGTTCTGTGAACTGCTTCCAAATTTCACTAAACACTTTAAATGTCACTCAAATCTTAAGACAAAATCACAATTTTTTTAGTGTATAAATTTCCAACCCAAATTTTGAGTGGCTTCACAGCATTGTGATTTACACATTCACTTGGGAACTGAAAGGTTGCTGGTTTGATTCCAGCTGGAGTCAGAAGAAGGACATCCCATGTAAAACTACCTACTGTCCCTAGTGGCTGAAAGTAGTAACACTTTGCAATATACTAAAGTCATTGTACAGGGTGGGCCATTTATATGGATACACTGTAATAACATGGGAATGGTTGGTGATAATAAAGTCCTGTTTGTGGCACATTAATATATGTGAGGGGGCAAACTCCTCAGGATGGGTGGTGACCATGGTGGCCATTTAGAAGTCGGCCATCTTGGATACAACTTTTGTTGTTGTTTTATCACCATTGTTTTTCTTGTGACATTACCAACAAGTTTGATGTGTCACATGGCCCTCTTCCTATTGAAAAATCAAAAGTTGTTGTTTTCACTTGGTATATAAGCCACAAGCCAGCGCCCATTGTCAGAGACCAGTGTGGCGTTTGATCAGAGTGCTCTCTCTGCTGCAGCATAGTATTAAGCCAGATCAGAAGATGCTCATCAAGTGTTTGCAGTTTATTTAAAAACTTCCATCACATTTTATCAACAGATATCAGTGTCTGTGTAATGTTCCCATAGAGTCGGTGGGATTACCAGCAGGTCCCTGAGGTCTTGTGACCAGGGCTTGCTGGTTGTCCAGCACACTAGATTAAAAACAAAAGGTGACAGAGTCTTTGTTTCTGTGGCTCCCAGACTTTGGAACTCTCTACCATTGAGTTTGAGATCTGTAGACTCTGCCAGTTCTTTTTAAAAACAGTTAAAAACCTATCTTTTTCAACTTGCCTTTGGTTGATGTTGTTTTATGTTCTAGCTTATGTGAAGCACTTTGTTATTTTATCTCGAAAGGTGCCATATAAATAAAATGTTACTTACTTTACTTACAGTAGTGCAGTTTAGATCAGTCAGATATGTGGCTAATTTCTACAGTGGTTATATGAAGTTCTGGTGGTTGTAAGTGGTGGTTCAGTTCATGTTATTATTGTGTGTATGAGGGTTCGGTCGGCCATTTGTTTATTTTGTCTATTGTGTGTATCGGTTGTAGGTGGTTGTGTGTGTGTGTTCAGTCCATGTGTTAACGTGGGTCAGATGTCAGGAGGCAGAGTTCAGGAGTCTGACGGCTGTAGGGAAGAAGCTGTTCTGGTACCTGGTGGTCTTAGTCCGGTCTTAGTCCGTTTTTTTTTTTTTTTACTTGTTTTATTTTCAAATTGATTAATTTGCACTTTATCGTTTACAGTAGGATTAACTTTGCTGTGCCTTCCACAAAACTGTCTGTATATTTTTATTTATGTAGGAAACATGGATTCAAAAATAATGGAGGTGGCTGCTCTGGGTCGACCTTTCACCTTAGGGATGCTCTATGATGCCCGGAGTGATAAACTCATCCCAGGTAACGTGTGACATGTTTAGATTCTCAGTCTATATCCACTGTATCCACACTGATTTTAGAACATCTGGACAGCATAATCTCACATTTTTATCAAAGACTCACCCCTGAACTCAGTTTTCATTCTGTAATCAAAAGTTCACATCTGATATTGGAAAAAATACCAGGTTTGTTGAAGTGTAATTTTTGTTTTGATTGGTTTGACCTGAGAGAAATTTCCAGACATTCAATTACTTCAAGCATCCACAATAACATCTGGTTTCAATTTTTGGTTGTGAATTATAATCATACTGTATGTGAATTCAAAGGTGGAGCACAGGTAGGTACAGTTTGTTCTCCAAAATATCAGGACAATGTGTTTATTGAACAGTTGTAAAAGTGAAAAGCAAAAATTCTGATTGAACTTCATAAAATTGGGGGTGGGAATTTAACCCGTTAATCACAATTAATTAATCTTTTAAAAATGTGTTAAAAAATTTACACATTTAATCACCCTTTGTGATCCAAGCAAAGGGGAACTTTTGTCAATGCATGATGTCCTGGTATATCGATTATACTGATGCACAGAACTACAAAAATGGAAGAATCAGAAAGCACATTGCTAGGACTGATCGGAGGCAAACTTTATTTCAAAAGACTAACCGATGGAAGCCTTGATAAAAGCACCGTACAGTACCATCCAAATGCAAAACATGTTGCAGTGAGCACAGAAACTGTGGGAGCTGTTAGCGCTAGCAGTCCCAGTAACAAAAAAACGTGTTGGCAGCCCAAACTTGATGAAATGACTGGCTTCAGGACCAAAATTAATAAGTCAGCATTGGACAAACTGATATATTCTCTCACAAAAGTGATCGCTCTGGACTGTAGACTAGCGGTGGGCAGATCAATCCAAATATTGATTCTATTGATACCAAGTCGGTATCGGTTCGATACAAGCCTGGTGAGATCTATTCTTTACTTTCAGTTCCGCTCTTGTTTGCAATGCTGTGCTTGCGGCAAAGAGAAAAGAGCCAGGTCGCCAGAAAACTTGTGTTTAGGTGTTGCGCTGTCAGGTCACGTGACTTAGACGCTTTGAGGGTTGTTAAGTTGTTTACATATTATATTTTCAGTAGTTGTTTTTGTTGTTGAGAGTTTTTATTGTAATTTTTGTAATATAGTTTCTCAACAGTACTTGTTTGTCATAATTTGTTTACTGATTTGATAACTTTAAACCACCACGGCAGACCCGATGATAATTACGCGGTTGCTGTAACAGTACATTAAACGGCTGCAGCTCTCCTGCTGCCAGCTGTGCACATCACCACCAACAAAAACAACACAAGCAGAGCACAGGTTTCAAGCTGGCGAGGCGTGATTGTAGATGCCGTGCAGGCATAGCTGGACTGCCCATCATGCATACCGGGCATTTGCCCAGTAGGCCGATGGTGATTTTTCGTTTTTATGGGCCGATGATTTTTTTTTTGTAACGGCATGAACAATGAAGGGTGGTGGATTGTCCAGATGCTGGCCGATGTGTAAAAATAACTCAGTTGTTTGGTGGTGGCTGTGGCGGAGCTTCCACTGAGGCCAGCAGGTGGATGAGAGAAAAGGCAGGCAGGAGGAGCAGAGACCCGAGGAGGCCGCCAGTCCGAGTGTCAGGTGAACTGAACTTCAGGTAAGAAGTTATGAGCTGCAGTCTATCTGGGTCAGATATAAACCAAGTTTAGTTTATTTTCGTTGTGCTGACTTTTTACAGTCAGTTACAATAACTCGTACTGCTACTAGCTAGCATGACGGAGTTTCTATACAGCTGTGGGTGCTATGATGTTACTGATAGTGAACTTTATTTTATTCACAAGGTTAGTTAGTAGAGTTTCTGTAAAAAACGTAATCTTCCCGCATTCAGAGAAAATATTACGCATTTCGTATTGAGCTGAAAAGGAGCACAGTTTGTCCCGGACTTCAGCTAGACTGGAAAAAGACACAAAGCTGGATTTATTCTGTCTTTGCTGCACAGCTGCCTCTTCTTCTCTCATCCTCTCCCCTCTCTCTCCTGTTGCTACTTCAATCATGAAACTGATCAATGATCAGCTGATCGGCTTTTCTCTCTTGTTTATTTATCTCCCACTTTGCGCCAGAAAGAGGAAACCAGCGGATGTCGCGCTAAACAACAGCAGCACGTTTAAGCTTGATCAGCTGTTCTTAGAATTTATTTAATGTTAATTTCTAGTATCAGCTGATGTTTGCTGGAGCCACAGCTGTAAAGCTGCTGGTCATGATGTCGGTTTGGATATGTGGTGAGAGGGAAACATGAAGATGAAACCAGGAGATGTCCTTACTGAACCATCAGAGCTGTGATGGAGAAACAGGTTTACCTTTTAGGTGACATGGATGAGTTGAAGTTATGAACTGTTTCTGAGAGACTAATAACACCAGGATCCTTTTCTAATTTCCATCCATCTTCATCCGCTTTATCCGGGGCCGGGTCGTGGGGGCAGCAGCCTAAGCAAAGAGGCCCAGACCTCCCTCTCCCCAGCCACCTCCTCCAGCTTATCCGGGGGAATACCAAGGCGTTCCCAGGCCAGCCGAGAGATATAATCTCTCCAGCGTGTCCTGGGTCTGCCCCGGGGCCTCCTCCCGGTGGGACATGCCTGGAACACCTCACCCAGGAGGCGCCCAGGGGGCATCCTTGTCAGATGCCCGAACCACCTCAGCTGGCTCCTTTCAATGTGGAGCAGCAGCGGCTCTACTCTGAGCCCCTCCCGCATGGCCAAACTTTTCACCCTATCTCTAAGGGAGAGGCCAGCCACCCTTCAGAGGAAGCTCATTTCTGCCGTTTGTATCCGCGATCTCGTTCTTTCGGTCACTACCCACAGCTCGTGGCCATAGGTGAGGGTAGGGACGTAGATCGACCGGTAAATTGAGAGCTTCGCTTTTACACTCAGCTCCCTCTTCACCATGACGGACCGGTGCAGCGTCCGCATTACTGCAGCTGCAGCCCCAATCCGTCTGTCGATCTCCGGCTCCCTTCTCCCATCACTCGCGAACAAGACCCCGAGATACTTGAACTCCTCCACTTGGGGCAGGAACTCATCCCCGACCCGGAGTGGGCACTCCACACTTTTCCGGCTGAGAACCATGGCCTCAGATTTGGAGGTGCTGATCCTCATTCCAGCTGCTTCACACTCGGCTGCGAACCGTTCCAGTGCGAGCTGGAGGCCCTCACCCGATGAAGCCAACAGAACCACATCATCTGCAAAAATCAGAGATGAGATTCTGAGGCCACCAAAGCGAAAGCCCTCCGCCACTTGGCTGCGCCTAGAAATTCTGTCCATAAAAATTATGAACAGAACCGGAGACAAAGGGCAGCCCTGGCGGAGCCCATCACCCACCGGGAACGAGTCCGACTTATTGCCGGCAATGCGAACCAAGCTCTTGCAACGGTTGTATAGGGATCGAATGGCCCGTAGCAATGGGCCAGACACCCCATATTCCCGCAACACCTCCCACAGGACACCCCGAGGGACACGGTCGAATGCCTACTCCAAGTCCACAAAACACATGTAGACTGGTTGGGCAAACTCCCATGCACCCTCAAGTATCCTGGAGAGGATAAAGAGCTGGTCCAGTGTTCCGCGACCAGGACGAAAACCGCATTGTTCCTCCTGTATCCGAGGTTCGACTAGCGGACGAACTCTCCTTTCTAGCACCCTGGCATAGACTTTCCCAGGGAGGCTGAGGAGTGTGATCCCCCTGTAGTTGGAACACACCCTCCGGTCTCCCTTCTTAAAGATGGGGACCACCACCCCGGTCTGCCAGTCCACAGGTACTGCCCCTGATCTCCACGCAACATTGTAGAGGCGTGTCAACCAGGACAGCCCTACAACGTCCAGAGCCTTCAGGAACTCGGGGCGGACCTCATCAACACCAGGGGCTCTGCCACCAAGGAGTTGTTTAACTGCCTCAGTGACCTCGCCCCCGGAAATTGGCGGGTCATTCCCCTCATCCCCAGACTCTGCTTCCTCCTCGGAAGACGTGTCAGTGGGATTAAGAAGGTCCTCGAAGTATTCCTTCCACCGCCTGACAATTTTCTCAGTCAACATCAGCAGCGCTCCGCCAGCACTATACACAGTGCAGGTAGAGCACCGCTTTCCCCTCCTGAGACGTCTGACGGTTTGCCAGAATCTCTTCGAGGCAGTCTGAAAGTCTTTTTCCATGGCCTCTCCGAACCCCTCCCACACCTGAGTTTTTGCTTCAGCCACTGCCCGACTTCCGCTTGGCCTGTCGGTACCTATCAGCTGCCTCTGGAGTCCCACAGGCTAACCAAGCCCGATAGGACTCCTTCTTCAGCCTGGTGGCTCCCTTCACCTCTGGTGTCCACCATTTGGTTCGGGGATTACCACCACAGCAGGCACCAACCACCTTGCGGCCGCAGCTCAATGCAGCAGCTTCGGCAATGGAGACGCTGAACGTGGTCCATTCGGACTTAATGTCCCCAGTCTCCCTCGGATTGCTGTTGAAGCTCTGCCGGAGGTGTGCGTTAAAGATCTCGCGGACTGGGGCCTCTGCTAGACGTTCCCAGCACACCCTCACTACGCGTTTAGGTGCACCAGGTCTGTCCAGCGTCCTCCCCCGCCACCTGATCCAACTCACCACCAGGTGGTGATCAGTTGACAGCTCAGCCCCTCTCTTTACCTGAGTGTCCAGAACATATGGTCGCAGGTCTGCTGATACGATTACAAAATCGATCATCGACCTACGGCCTAGAGCGTCCTGGTGCCACGTGCACTTATGGACACTCTTATGTTCGAACAGGGTGTTCGTTATGGCCAAACTGTGATTAGCACAGAAGTCCAATAACAAAGCACCGCTCGGGTTCAGATCAGGGAGGCCGTTCCTCCGAATCACGCCCCTCCAGGTCTCACTGTCGTTACCCACGTGAGCATTGAAGTCTCCCAGCAGGACAACAGAGTATCCAGGTGGAGCACCCTACCAGGGGGCAAGAGCCCCCAGACAACATAGCCCCTGGGATCCCTGGGACACACAAACCCCTCCACCACGATAAGGTAGCGATTCATAAGATGTTATTCAGCTGCATTCCTACAAGAGGGAGAAAATCTTTCATCAATATTTCAACAGCTGCAGTAACTCTTTAAAATACAAGACAGAGTCAGCTGGATTCTACTTTTAACAGTTTACTGGCATTTAAAATTCTGCTTTGCTTTGTTAGTTTAGAATTGTAATTATTATTATTAGTAGCAGTTGTAGTATTTCAATCAAAACTGAAGAATAAAGGATGCAAAATTCAGTATAAACCAAATAACTTCTTCTGGCTGTAGTGGACGCATCTTAATGAAACAAATGAGTATATATGTAAAAAAAATTTCCTCTTAACCATTTTGTGGATCTCATGTCTTAAAGGTGTCACACTGTGGGATGCTAAAACTCTGCAGGAGAAGTCAGTGGAGAAAAATCAGCACAGCAGTGAATTTGAAGTCAGTGCGTCTGATTCCACTAAAACAAAATCCTCTCTGCTGGATGTTAATGCTTCACTAAAGGCCAGTTTCCTGGGTGGACTCATTGAAGTTGGAGGATCAGCCAAGTATCTGAATGATAACAAGAAATCTCACCATCAGAGTCGAGTCACACTTCAGTACAAAGCTACCACCAAATTCAAACAGCTGATGTTGACTCCTGATGAAACCAAGAACACCCAACAAGCAGAAGATGTGAAGAATTTGGCGACACATGTAGTCACAGGAATCCTTTATGGAGCAAATGCTTTCTTTGTGTTTGACAGTGAGAAGTTAGATGATAGCAGCATTCAAGTCATCGAGGGCAGCATGCAAGCAGTGATAAAGAAGATCCCCTCATTTAATGTTGACGGGAAAGTTGACATCAAGCTGAGTGATGAAGAAAAAGCTGTGACTGATAAATTCACCTGCAAGTTCTATGGAGACTTCATCCTTGAAAGCAACCCTGGAACATTTGAAGATGCAGTGAAGACATTCATCCAACTTCCAAAACTACTGGGAGAAAACAGAGAAAACTGTGTTCCACTGAAGGTCACACTGATGCCTCTGAAGATTTTAGATCCAGAAGCTCCTGAGGCAGTGACTGAGATCAGCATTGGACTTGTTATAAAGGCTCAAGATGCTCTGAAGGACCTCTATAACCTGGAAATAAGATGCAATGATCTGCTGGACGACAGAGTGGTGAGAAGCTTTCCACAGATACAAGAAAAGTTGAGCAGATTCAAGAAGCTCTGTCAGTATTTCAGATCTTCAATCCAGAAAACAATGGCTGAGAAACTTCCCTCCATCAGGGCAGGTGAGGAAGATAAGCAGGAATTAGTGAAAGTGTTTTATGACAGAGACAAGTCACCGTTCAGTCAGGAGAGATTAACCAAGTGGATCAAAGATGAAGAGAGAGAAGTCACCATCATCAGGTACTTTGTAGACATGATGGAGGGAACAAAGATCATCTCAGATCAGTCTGAGCTGGACAGAGAGGTGTTTAAACCAGGAGTAGAGGAAGTTCTCTGCTTTGTTTTCACCTCCCTGAAATCCACTGACCCATATCTGCAGAACATGTCTGACTACTTGGAGAAAAAGAAACTGGAAGGTACTGATGGTAACACTCCACCTACCCAGGACCAATGGTACCGCTCAGATGAAGCGATAAAGCAGATGACAGAAAAGGCCGAAGCGGTGAAAAACTGCAGCAGACTGTTTATAACAGCCATTCAAAATGACCAATACAAAGGAGGAAGTATCTACCACTACAGGAACACAAACCTGGTCACTGATGATTTCTCAGGACCTGATGTCACTGATGTGGAAAAGGTGACGAACAGGAGAGATCTGACCTGTTGTAAGTACTAACAAAATAACACTCTTTCATCTTAAAATTATCTGAACTGTTTAAAGTGAAATTATTCCCATTGATCCATCCATCCATCTTCTTCTGCTTATCTGGGGCCGGGTCGTGGGGGCAGCAGCCCAAGCAGAGAAGCCCAGACCTCCCTCCCTCCAGTCACCTCCTCCAGCTTGTCTGGGGGAACACCAAGGCATTCACAGGCCAGCTGAGTGATATATTCTCTCCAGCGTGTCCTGGGTTTGCCCCACGGCCTCCTCCTGGTGGGAAAACACCTCACGCAGGAGGCGCCCAGGAGGCATCCTTGTCAGATGCCCAAACCGCCTCAACTGGCTCCTTTCGATGTGGGGGAGCAGCCACTCTACTGGCCAAACTTCTCACCCTATCTCTAATGGAGAGGCCAGCCACCCTTCAGAGGAAGCCCATTTCTGCCGCTTGTATCCTCAATCTCATTCTTTCGGTCACTACCCACAGCTTGGGATCATAGGTGTGGATGGGGACGTAGATCAACCGGTAAATTGAGAGCTTCGCTTTTACACTCAGCTCCCTCTTCACCACAACTGACCTGTACAGTGTCTGCATCACTGCAACCGCAGCAACAATCTGTCTGTCGATCTGTTGAGCTCCCTTCTCCTGTTACTCATGAACAAGACCCCGGGATACTTAAACTCCTCCACTTCGGTAAGAACTTGTCCCTGACCCAGAGTGGGCACTCCACCTTTTTCCGGCTGTGAACCAATCCAAGCTGAGCTGGAGGCCATCACCTGATGAAGCCAACAGAACCACATCATCCACGAAAAGCAGAGATGAGATCCTGAGACTACCCAAGTGAAAGCCTTCTGCCACTTGGCTGCACCTAGAAATTCTGTCCATAAAAATTATGAACAGAATCTGTGAGAAAGGGCAGCCCTGGCGGAGCCCATCACCCACCAGGAACGAGTCCGACTTATTGCTATGCGGCCCAAGCTCTTGCAACAGTTGTATAAGGACTGAATGGCCCATAGCAATGGGCAAGACACCCCATACTCCCGGAGCACCCCCAACAGGACACCCAAAGGGACACAGTTGAATGCTTTCTCCAAGTCCACAAAACCCATGTAGTCTGGTTGGGCAAACTTCCATCCACCCTCAAGTATCCTTGAAAGGATAAAGAGCTGGTCCAGTGTTCCATGACCAGGATGAAAACCTCATTGTTCCTCCTGTATCTGAGGTCCGACTAGCAGAGGGACTCTCCTTTCCAGCACCCTGGCATAGACTTTCCCAGGGAGGCTGAAGATTGTGGGTCACCTGTAGTAGAATCACACCCTCTGGCTCCCTTCCCCTTTGGTGTCCACCATTGTGCTCAGAGGTTACCACCATGACAGGCACCAACCACCTTGTGTCCACAGCTCAGGGCAGCGGCTTCGATAATGGAGAAGTTGAACATGGTCCATTCGAACTAAATGTCCCCAGTCTCCCTTAGAATGCTAATGAAGCTCTGCTGGAGAAGTGCATTGAAGATCTCGCGGATTAGGTCCTCTGCTAGGCATTCCCAGCACACCCTCACTGTACGTTTGGGTGTGCCAGGCCTGCCCAGCATCCTCCCCTGCCACCAGATTAATGGATTTCAGGACAGGAACTATTAAAGCAGTGCTGTCAGTGGATCAGTCTGATTGGTTTAGGTTCCTAAACATGTTGTTGCATTTATTAACAACAGTAACTTTCTGCTAATAAAGCCTTTTGATGTTTAGGCTGAACTGTGATTCTGATCAGGTCTCAAAGGCAGCACAGTGTGAAACATAGAATCAGAGAAACATGCAGATAAAATCCATCATCACAATCAAACTCAGACAAGTTGAGGTTTGAGGACAGACATCTGACGTGTTAAAAACAGACTGCAGATCTGCAGTGGACAGATTCAGTCAGAGGCATCATCACAAATAATTGAATGAATGAATGAATTGCAGCACGGTGGCACAGTGGTTAACACTGTTGACTCACAGCAAGGAGGTCCTGAGTTCAATTCCACCATCAGGCCGGGGTCTTTCTGTGTGGAGTTTGCATGTTCTCCCCGTGTTTGCATGGGTTCCCTCCGGGTACTCTGGCTTCCTCCCACCGTCCAAAGACATGCAGCTTGTGGGGATAGGTCAATTGATTAATCCAAATTGTCCATAGAAGTGAATGTGAGTGCGAATGGTTGTCTGTCCCTGTGTGTTGGCCCTGCGACAGACTGGTGAGCTGTCCAAGATGTACCCCGCCTCTCGCCCTATGACAGCTGGGATAGCCCCCCCCCCCCCCCCCCCCCCCCCCCCCCGACCCTGAAAGGGATAAGCGGAAGCGACTGGATGGATGAATGAATTAATGAATTGAATGAATTTGATCAGGTCTCGTTATTTCCATCAGATGCCTGTGGTCTCACCGTGGATCCAAACACAGTAAACAACAACCTCATCCTGTCTGAAGGAAACAAGAAGGTGACAAACGGAGAGTGGCAGTCGTATCCCGACCATCCTGAGAGATTTGAAGTTTGGCCTCACTTTCTGTGCAGAGAGGCTCTGACTGGGCGCCATTACTGGGAGGTAGAACTGAATATGAATAAAGGTGCAGATGCTGCTGCTGCTGTTTGCTACAGAAAATTAGAGAGAAAGGGAAAAGGTAGACTGACTGGGTTCGGGTGGAATAACATCTCCTGGTCTTTGGGCTTTAAATGGGACCCAGACCCAACTTACTATGCAGAGCATGATAGTATGACCACTAATCACCCACTTCCACCTTCTGGCTGCCCCAGACTGGGAGTGTTTCTGGATTGGCCTGCAGGGACTCTGTCCTACTACACAGTCTCATTTAATAAACTGAGTCACATTCACACCTTCAGGACCAAATTCTCTGAGCCTGTTGTTCCAGCCTTCAAGGTCTGCAGCAAAAACAGCTCCGTGTTGCTCTGTCTGTAAACTTGATGCCACATAATTCAGTTCAGCTTTTTACACCAGAGCTGTATAAATGTGCCATCATGTCGGTCACATTTAGTTATTTAATTTATGACAACCAATCAGCCTGTATGATCACAGCTAACAGACACTTAGAGCATCTTTTCCGGAAAAAAAACCAGATTGTTTTTGCTAGATATATTTGGATTTGTGTTCACATAAATGGGGCCCCACATTAACCTCCGAAGACCCGAACTCTTTCATTTTGCATGCATTTTTAATTCCTCTTTCCTATTTGGGACCTGATGAATGTAACAAATAATAATAATAATAATAATTATTATTACCTGATTCTTTTTTGTTTTACCTGATTTTTGTTTCTGAGAAAAGTGAGATCTACATATGAGGACATTAGTGATGGTAAATTCGATTCTTTTTACTGAATCGCTCACCAAAGTGAATCGGGTTTCTTGAGTCATTTGACCAGAGAGTGCAAAAATGTATATTTTCACTCAAACTTAATTTGTTTCTCTTTTAATGTAAATCCTACTGCTTAGATGAATGATTGTAAAATAAAACAACTATTTTCTTTAGAGCAACAAAAATTCTAAAGGGAACATTTATTTATTTGTATTTTATTTTATTGGTATTTTCCTTAATTGTGTCAAATATATATTTTCTCATCTAAATGTGCACTGAGCTGTGAGCCAGGGGGCGGTAAAGTGCCTTAACATTGGTTGCCAACCAAGAAGAAGAAGAAGAAGTAGCTGTGAAGTGACAGTGAGCCAGGAGGGAGGGGGTGAGTGAGTGATTCGTAACAGGAAGGGAGGGGGTGAGTGAGTGATTCGTAACAGGAAGGGAGGGGGTGAGTGAGTGAGTGATTCGTTCAACTCGTTTGAGCTGTGAGCCAGGAGGGAGGGGGTTAGAGAGTCCTGAGTGATTCGCTTATGCTATGATTCAGCACAGCAAGGGAGGGGGTGAGTAACTCAAATGTGCTGTTAGCATGTTAGCTGAGAGATGCTACTGTGAACCGAGGAGCTATTGTCTTGATATGAGCTTCTACTTAGGGTTTTTTCTTCCAGTTCAGAGCAGGAATGTTTTTGTTAAGAAACTGGCTTTTGTTGTTTTTCCCCCCCACAATTTTAATTATAAGCTAGATATATTTCTACTAATGGAATTAGTTTGCTAACAGCAACAGGGATGAGTCAGTGAGTCAGTTGCGCTTGTGAATCATGATTCACGAGTCAGTAAAGTGATTCTCGAGTATTGAACAATTCGTTCACGAATCGAACATCACCAGAGGACATTTGTTTAAAACTTCGATAGAACAGTGGCACTATAATGTCCTTGTAAGTGGATATCAGGCCCTTGTAGAGCCATATATAGTATTCTGGTCTAGACAACCCAAAATGTGATGTCCACATATGTGGATGCCAGGTTGTAGGAGATTAAGGCCTCACCTGCAGATTTCCATGGTTTCCTGCATGAAGCAGCTTTTGTGTTGTGTTGTTTGACCCTCAGATTGATTGAAGTGATCCTTTTCTCTTTTAGTCATTTATTCTTTCAGTGATCCTGCAGTTTAATCCTGATTAAAGCCTTTAAATAGTTCATGATTTAATTCAAGCTTTTTTTTTCTTGGTGATGGTTTGATGGGATTCAGATTTTTATTTGCATTTTTTCCTCCCTGAGATTAGAATAAGTGGAAGTTAAAATAATTTGTATGATGTTTTCTTTTTAACTTGTTGCGTTTGATCAGCTGATGAATTAGAAGACATTTATTCCATTGTTGTATATTTGAAGAAGTTTTTATTGTTGTGGCTGACTTTTCATATATCATTCTAAAATAAATGGTCTTTGTTGATAGTTTGATTGATATTCAGATATTTGACTTGCACCACTAATTTTTCATGTAAATTTGTTTAATTTCAATAAAGTTAAGAAAAAACTAAACAAATAATTTGAATGCATTTATTTCATGTACCCTCATTTTTTTAGATCTCTTAGATCAAGTGATCTTTTGCTTTTAGCCATACCTAGGTCGAGGCTGGTTCATAGAGGTGATCGAGCATTTGCAGTCGTAGCGCCTAAGCTGTGGAATAATTTACCCCTATACATCAGACTGGCTCCCACTGTCAATCTTTTTCAATCTTATCTTAAAATGCATTTTTATTTACTGGCTTTTAATACAGCATAAGAGTTATTTGTTATTAGAGATGGCACGATACCACTATTTTTATTTCCGAAACCGATACCGATATCATAAATTTGGATATCTACCAATATCCGATATAGTGTATTTTTTAAAATACCTAAAAGAAATTTACTGAATATACCTTTAATTCAATTTAAACTGGTAAATTATAGAAACATTTTAAGCTGACTTATGCACAGAGACCAAAACAGTTTCAGTATCAGGCTGTAAACATATTTTCTTCTGCTGCAGTTTAGCATGGTACTCTATGGGGACTGGCTCACTGTTGGAGCCTCTGCTGGATGTCAGAGGAACTGCAGGTTTTGAGATCTCAGCGATGGTTTTTTATTTCTGTTTTTAAAATAAATTTTTTAATCAAAATAAAAAAATATAAAAAACAAAAGACAAGGCTTAAAAATTACATTTAAAGAGTTCAACAGGAAAAATATTTCAAACTTGACTGAATATATGTTTACATGGTTATGCGACAGATTTTCAGATTCATCATAAAACAAGCCAAAGATATAACTTTATGCAAAATTATACAAAAATAAAGGAAATTAGAGCAGGGAAAAGGTTTCACTTCTTTGATTAGTCTTTATTAGCAAGGAGCAGTTTACTATTTCGCCTCGCTTCCTCTATCAGTCCTCATGGATTTCATCTCCTCCTGGGTGGTCGACTGAGTTCCCGAAGAAGACGTCTTGTTGTCCTCGGCGTCCTGCCCACAGCGCAGTGCACAGGGCAGCGCACTCACCAGGGCCTTCCTGAACATGGAGCTGGAGAAGATGTAGATGATGGGATCCAGGGCCGAGTTCAGGAAGTTCAAACCCAGAGACACGATGCTGAGCTGGGTGAATCTGTAGAAGCTGGTGCAGTCCCACGGGCGGTACGAGCGGATGATCCACACTCCGATGGTTGTCACCGTGGTGGGCAGAAAGCATACCATGAATACTGTGACGATGGCGATGCACACTCGCATCGCCTTGCGCACTTTGTCGGGTTTGCCCATACGTCGTTCCTTCAGGAAGCTGGAGATCCGGATGGAGCAGAACAGCAGCATGGCCATCGGGAAGATGAACTCCAGCACGGTGAGGATGCGATGCATGGCCACCAGGATGATGATGGCTCGCGACGCCTCTTTGTAAGACGTGAAGAAGAAGCACTGGGTTGTATTGCCGCTGCCCTTGATGTGGTTGTAAGCCAGCATAGGAACCCGGGGCGTGATGACCAGCAGCCAGACAAACAGCGACACGAACACCGCCTGTCGCTTGGTCATGCGGTTGAAGCGGTGGTGAGGATGGACCACCTGGAAGAAAACAGCACTGATGATACTGGTTCTGAAACTTCCACTGAATACAATTATCTGGATAAACAAGTAGGAACTGTTGTTTCTGTTCTACATCATCTAGTTTGGGGTCTCCTCCAGTAGACACACAAAAAAATCAGATTTGGGATTAAATTACAAACTAGCTCAACATTTCTCTCGCCAGTTGGTAGACCCACACCTGAAGTTATTTTGGCACACCCTGCACCGTCACCTGATGGGTTTTTCCTGGGTTTTAGGGGCAGAAGAACATCAAAACATGTTCCTGTTTTCGGTATGTCGGGATAGTGCCAAAACTAAAGCAGCAGTATCTGTTTAAATCATCTTTTGAATCTTGAAAATGTTTGATGGTGAAATTAATTGTGCGCCTGGCACTGATTGGCCAATCATCATTGTTCCTGCATTTGTAAACAGGAAACCAGTTTCATGTCACAGTGTCAGGTGATGGATGGATGGATTCAAAGATCTCAGTCAGGTAAAGTTCCTAACTTCCTAAAACAGTTTCAGTCTTCCTTCCTTCAGCTTCATTTATAAATGACAATATAGAATGATTACAGCTATTTACCAGCTGTTTACCCATGTTGGCTTAACTTTAGTTTTACCCAGTTATGTCATCAAGCTATTTACATCAAGCTATTACTACCAACTTTTCCCTGTTTGGAGCCCCATGAATAAAAACAACCTGTATCACTTTAACAGACCTGCAGCACACGAGTTTCCCGTGTTGGAGTGATTCAAAAATATTAGAAATGCAGTCAGAGGTTTGTTCTCTTTACCAGGAATGTGGCCCAACGAGGTGCAACAAAAAACTTTGTTAAGCATTTTTACAACTCCATCACCACGAGGACTCTCTCACCTTAAAGTAGCGATAAATTGCCACCACGGTCATGAGTGCGATGCTCGCCGAGCGGTTGGAAAACATCAGGAAGAGGTTGATCCGACACATGCCGTCTCCAAACACCCAGTGACTCCTGAGCAAGGCGTCGATCCTCAGAGGTAGACTCACTAGAGCGAGGAAGTCTGCGATAACCAGGTTGAAGAGGAAGAGGCTGTTGGGGTTCCACGCCTTCAGTTTGAAGCAGAAGATCCACAGAGCGACCAGGTTTCCCAGCAGCCCCAGAATGACGTCGATGATGAGGACGGGTGGCATGATCTTACCTTCCAGCCCAATACCGACAGGTGGGCAGCCACCATCGGCAGTGGGGGTGGTGAGGTTTGAGGCGGTGGTGAAGTTTGGCTCTGAGGTCATTTTGGTGACTCGGGCAGAAAGTCCTTGAAGTTTATTGAGGATTATTCTTAAGTTTGACTGTTAAAAATATCTGTGGGTTTGGTGGTTAAATCTGAGCGAGGGGGAAAGTCTGTGTGACCACACCTTGGAAAGTTTCCAAACTCTTGAAATTTGAAGCTTCCTCTTGTTCTTCCTTTTTTTCTGTTTTAAAACAGCAGAATTTAGATTTTTATCAAAGATGACATGAATCACTTCCACTCTTTCACAAGTCCTGGACATGCTGGGATCCAAAATATTAAACAAACAGAAGAAAGACCTAAAAAATGTTTAATTAAGTCAAAATACTTTCTTTTACAGTGAAATAACAAATGACAAAGTTCACAAGTTAGAGTCAAATGTCAATCAAATACATTCTCACGTCTGTGATATTCTTTTCAATATTCTTGATATTTATAATTGACTGATTTGTTTATTTTAGTGCAATTTCTTAAATTTGTAAACAATGTAACATATTATTAAAATAGCTGAGTCTGTTACTGTTACTGTCTTGGAGCAACTGTAACCTACACAGTTTCCTTAAGGATTAATAAAGTATTCTGATTATGATTTAACAAAGAAGTGTGCCATTATGGTGTTATTGTGCCATATAATATTCAATCAACATGAAGTTTTAATGGCCTGAAGTTCCCAGCTACAGGATTCAGTTATTAAATTACAATAAACACAGATAGCTCTATCATAGCATCACAGCTGTTCCAGGAAAAATAAACATTTTTAAAAATATGCATGGAAGGTTATTTATTTTTAGTTTATATGTGGCACTTTTAAGGAGTTTACACTGAGAATATATGTCAGCACACGCGGATTAAACAGGCCTGTGTATGTTTCCACATCTGATCCAGAGAATCAGAGGATGAATCCAGTACTCACCAGTCCCGACGCGAGACGTTCATTCATAAAGTGTCTGAGGAGGAATGATCTTTGTCGGGTATTTATGTCTCCCACGAGAGGATCTTCCTCGTCAGCCCGTTGCCCCACAGAGGCTGGTACAGAGTGTGAACGAAGTCAGAGTCAAAAACATTTCACAACACATTTCACAAACTGAGGGGCCGAGGAAAACTACTCAGCCAAGAGTGCTACCAGTAACATGACATACTTTAGCACCAGCATTTAACTGGTTATACAAATATTTAGATTTTACAGGGAATCCTTTCCAGGCGTCCAAGTTACTGAAAACTTTACAGCCTATTCTGCTTTTCACTGCTTTACTGCTCTTTATTATTCTCTGAGACTCCACCAGAGCTGCTTTCCATGATTCCGACCTCATGATGTTGTTATAAAGTTAGATATATATTAAAAAGCTTTGTTTATACATGACCACGAGCACTTCCTTGACCCGTGAATCTGCGCTCATAAACAGTCCAGGTTTGTTAATAGTTTGCTTGGTTACCATGGAACCAGGTGACGAACAGACCTCTGTGGTTTTAGCTCGCGTGTTTCTGGGTTAGAGGTCATCACATTTACTGATATTCTCGCCGGCCAATGTCTTTGATGCGTCATTGCTGACGACCTGAGGGTGAAACTTGTTTCCTTCTGTGGGGACAAACACGATGAAGAATGAGGAAGTGTTGAAATCTCGGTGTTTCTGTTGAGCTGTGGGTTGGCCTGATCCACAGAGGTGTAGGGTTTCTAAGACTGTTTTCTCCTGCTTTACACTTCCTGTGACTCACACAGATGAGTGTTTGATTGTATAAATATCAGCTAAACTTTAGAATTGAACCCTGACAGCTCAGAACTGGAAATATTTCATATTACATTAAAGAACTAACTAAAAACTGCTCAGTTACTCACCAGCACCAGAGGTTAATAGTAATAATAAGATTCAGAGTTTAGCAGAAAATAAAAGACGACTCAGCTGCTGCTCAAACAGAAACTGATAATAAAGCTGTAAAATCATAAAGGAAAGATGGTGAAGCTCTAAAACACTCGTGTCTTTTTCTGTTGTCTCAATGAACTCACCTGTAAAGAGCAGCATTAAAAATGACTCCAAGCTTTCAGTCTCAGTGAAAACAAAGACGCTGGACGTTAAAGAGTTCATAACAAATCTGAAATTTAAGCACGTCATAATTAATTATTAATTCTTTATTTAACCAGGAAAGACCCACTGAGATTTAAAATCTTATTTACAAGGTGACCTGAACAAAACTAAATTTACAAATTATGAAACATCATTGATCACAAAAATCTAAATAAAAAGTTCAACAGTGTCACCAAATAATTCAACAAACAACACATTTGCATGCAGATCTTTGAGTGTTTAAAATATTAAGCATTTGTTTAAACAGACTCAGAGAAACAAGATCCTTGTAAAGGATCCTTATAAATTTATATCTGGAAGATCTGCTGCAGATCATTTATAAATGAGAATATCCTAATGGTTTAATGTTCCCACTGATAAGACTTCACTCTAAAGACAAATCTGAATTTACGGTTTCAGTTTTTTTTCCAACTTGTCATGGACCAGGGTCCCAGCGCTCTCAGTTCTCTGGTGTTTTTGTTGTTTCGTTCACTTTGTTAGTCTAAGGTTATTCTGTAGTACCTAGGTTGTTCTGTTTAGCTTTTCCTCCTTGTGTCTTTGCCCTCTGAGTGTCTGTTTGTGCTTATGTGAGTTCTTGTGCCTTGTTTCCCCTCCTTGTGTTTTACCTCGCCATGTTTATCTGTTTCCCAGCCCGTCATGTCTGCTCTCTCTCTCTCCCTCGTGTTCCTCGCTTCCTCTCGTCTGCCTCTCCTCCTGTCCGGCATCATGTTCCTCTGTTTCCTGTTTTATTGTGAAGGGCTCATGTTTCCATGTTCATCACGTTCATGACACCAACGGTTTGATATGAGACTTGGAGGGAGGAGAGAGAATCACCAGTCAAGAGTTAGATACCAAATCAGTCTTCCAACCACGAAGAGCTGTGATAGATGGAAAAGTCAAAGAATTTAATTTAGTGTTGGAAACAACATGTATTTATTTTTTTGCATTGAAAAGTAATTTTGAACAGCACAAAGTTTGCTGAACAGTATTAAATGATTGTTGGAGCTGAGGTGTGGAATACATCACAGTGTCGTCGGCATAAAAATGGAAATTAGTGTTCGATACTCCTTGATCAACATTATAATATCAGGTGAATAATAATGGCCCCAGGACTGAACCCTGGGAATCACATCAAGGAAGCAAGATCAAAAAATAATCAGACCTCAAAAAGATGTAGATAATGGGCAGTTACAATGTAATAATCATTTAGGGCTTGGTTTTAAAAAAAATTATATATTTGTAGCAATGACACAGTGTGTTACATACATAATGTCCATCCATCCATCTTCTTCTGCTTATCCGAGGCCGGGTCGCGGGGGCAGCAGCCTAAGCAGAGAGGCCCAGACCTGGAGTGGGCACTCCACCCTTTTCCGGCTGAGAACCATGGCCTCAGATTTGGAGGTGCTGATCCTCATTTCCGCCGCTTCACACTCGGCTGCGAACCATTCCAGTGCCAGCTGGAGGCCTTCACCCGATGAAGCCAACAGAACCACATCATCCGCGCAAAGCAGAGATGAGATTCTGAGACCACCCAAGTGAAAGCCCTCCGCCAGTTGGCTGCGCCTAGAAATCCTGTCCATAAAACTTATGAACAGAATCAGTGACAAAGCCCTGGCTTCAATGCTAAGTTGTTTGTCAGTGATAAATATGTTGAGTCATGGATTATACCCAAATATGAAAAAAGTCCATCTTGGGCAACAAACTACATACATTTAAAAGGAGAAGTCCAGTCTTTGCTCTAAAGTCATGATGTGAGTATCAGGCTCAGCAGAGTCGTGTTCATCAGCTGGGAATGGGACAGTAAGCACGCCTGACACTTTGGTTTGATGTAAGCAGCTCGCACTGCTGATATTACAGCTGAAGGAAGCTAACGAGTACTGGGCCTAGATTTCAGCTGCAGTGGTGTAAAGAGTTCAAACTTTGTGATGATGTATGAACCAGGAGACCATCCCAACCAGTCTCCAAATGTGAGCCTGAACTGAACTTCCTGCCCCTGCTTACAGGTGATCTTCACCCACAGAGTCTACATTTCAACACATTTAATCTCCTGTTTAATGCTCTCATCCTGCAGCTGAAGGAAACTTTAAAGTTTGGTGTGTGCGTGCGTGTGTGTGTGTGTGTGAGGGACGGGTATCAGCACGGATTAGTGAGTAAAGGTAAGCGTGTCTCTCCCTGTCTAGGCGGATTTCCATTCCTCTCCTCTCTGTGCGGTCACACACACCGTCCCGGTTTGAACCGCCGCTGCCGCCTCTTCTCATCTCATCGTCTCCTCCTCTCGGCCGCCCGTCTCGCTCCTGTTTTTTTTTCTTTGTGTGTGCGTTTGTGTGAGAGCTCTTTATTTGTTTGTCTGAGGCCATCGTGCGATGCCATTCCTCCCCCAGGACGCTGAGCGATTCGATGGGCTGTCTCTACTCTACTGGTAAGCTAATTCTTCCTCTGCTCCTCCTCCTCCTCCATCCTCTCTCTCTCTTTGTTTTAATGGAGAAACTTGTCTCCTGTACATGCTTCAGTGCTTTTGTTTTTCTGCCTCGCTCTCTGCTCATGTGGGTCGCAGACTTCAGAGGTGAAGCAGGTTTACAGGCTGTTTGGGGCCAGATGCCGCGGAGTTTAAGTCCACATGCTTGTACGCAGTTCTGGGTCAGAGACGCTTTAAAGGACAGTGCAGCGCTCGCTGCTCCGCGCGGATTTCCATTCTTATTCTATTGTTTTGCCTTCCACCAGATTTTAGTGGCACATACTTTTTTTACTCCAGTGCTCTGATTTACTCATGTTGCACCTGAAGGTCACACATTTCAGATAAAACAGTGCTGCTGTTGTCGGGTGAAAGAGCAGAATGAACTCTTAGCTTATGAGAACCAAAGTTTGGCTGCAAGTACAGATGATTTAATCCAGTAATTTAATTTAAATTTTTTTATTCCTGTGAATTTTCTCTGTTGTTGTTACTCGTCTTTGCATCGCTTTGCATGCATGAAAGCTTTCGATAGGCCAAGTTAGAACTGCACAGTTTAACCAAACGTGCACAGCCGAGATGCTCAAACCAGAGAATTTATTGTAAAATGAACAAACTAATAGCTGCACGGACTCTGAGATTATGGGCTGCTACTATAAAATAGTCTATCTCTGACCACCATCTCTCAGGTCACAGACCTACAACTTAACACGTCATCAGCCCTCCAAAAAGACAGCTGCTTGATTGTAGGAAAA